AATATTTAGAAATACAACTAAACTCATGCTGACTAAAAATGTTAAAATGATTAATGCTTAATAAAAGCGTTAAAAGCGAATGAATAGGAAATAACATGTAGAATATGCGGACAAACCATGGCCCGTAAGGAGAAGTGTCTGGCCATTCGCCAAATTTGACCAGCCTAATTAACTCATAAAATAGTGTAGAATAAAATGTTATATGCCAAGTTTGCAGATTCAAGTATATACTTGGCTACACCCAGAGTTAGGTACATCTCATGTTATGTGACATTATATCCTAATAGCTTAAAACTTTTATTCAAACATGAATTTTTAATTTAATTTAAATTATATAAAATATTTGTAAGTTACCTAATTTTTATATACCTTTCACCTAGATTAATACGATGCTTGTTTCCCAAATTTGCAAATAATGGGTCGGTTACCACATATGATTTTATGTGTGTATTACCATTCAACAGTATAAACGAAAAGATTTATATTGTCTTATTGTTCTGGCTTATAATATTGACTACGATATCTGGCATCAATATTATCTATCGATTGTTAACTATAAAATATCCGTTAATTCGTGCGTTAATTATTAGACTCAGGGTCGGTTACAATGAGTACCTTTGTTTAAAACAAGTATTACAGTTCACTACAATTGGCGACTGGTTCATACTGTACCAATTGAGCAAGAACATTGACTACCAAGATTTCAAGTTTATGATGGATGAGTATTCAAAAATTGTTGAAACACAACGCGATACAAATTTTGAGATGGATACTATTACTAATACTGCACCATTGAAAAATAATGTATTAGTTATTTAGAATAAATTTAATAATTGCTACAAGCTCATTTGTTCATTGTCTAGCAGGCAATTTATGTTGACTGTCTATTAGGCTTAAAAGTTACTGGCACTTGTTTATTTTTAATTATTGACTATTTTAACAATAATATTATACTATATAATACAATGCTTTGTTAAATATAAAGGGTGTCCCAGCGTATTAGCAGGATTTGAAATTAAAATTAAAAATATTTACAATTTTGATTTAAATCAATTTATATTTAATCGTAATTTATATTTATGATTTAAATAAGATTTTCGAAAAATATAATTGTGAAATTAAAATTTTTAAAATAAAATTGTTTTATTAATTAAACTGTAAACCATAAGTGTTAATGTTAATATCCGGTACAATAACAATTTATTATATTGCGTTTAAATAATAACGTTTTATAGTAATATAGATAATTTTATTTTAACACAATTTATTTCCAGTACAATCACATTACATATTTATGCAAACATTTAATTTACTGTTAGTTTACTATTAGAAAATACCCAGAATATTAATTACGCAGTAGTTCCATATTAGTTAATATAATACAGCTGGCAACATTACTAATGGCTTTTTGATTTATTTATTTAATTAAATTTTAATCTTTATATCATATGATACATACACTTTACAATAACTATGAAGCTATTGTCGAACATTATTAGCACCAAGTCAATTACTATCTATTTGTGTTTGCTTATAAACGAACCTATATTACAAAGCGCAAATGCCGTGCCAATACCAAACCCTCAACTTTCTGATCTTGGTCAACTTACCAACTTGGCCCCTGGAGGTGGAGCAGGAACACAAGGTAATCTTTATCAAACATATAACCTTATTAAATTTGTGTTAATACTTTACGCTAACCCTATCACAAATAGGCGCACAAGTGTCTCGATCATTGACATTTGGGGAACAGCTAGGACTTTTACGATTGTTAGCAGCGCCACGTAGTAACGGTTTGGTAATCGACTTGGTAAACCAACTGGGAGGTGCCCTACCGATTGGGGGCCAAATAGCGACCTACTGAGCCTGTTAAATATAGTAAATTTGGAGGACACACTTGGTGGACTGCCCCTATTAGGATCCCTAAACTTGGGTCAAACCCTACGTACGTTGCCATTGGTGGGCGACCTATTGAACACGTTAAAGGCGACACAGAGGTGCTGGGTCTAAATTTTAACCCCAACAGGCAACAGTTGTATAACCCCTGGTTGGGTAGATATATGCCCGTGTACGGTTTCGATCAACGAGTTAACTTTCTGCAAAATAGGCTACTGGATCTGAAAGTTGGTATAACCCTGAAACTTGGCCTACTGGGTCTTTGTGGTGGTGCCGGTGGTGGAGGGCTATAGGGTTAACATAGCTAAATTAAATTGATGTAAATCTATTTATATTTAAATTAGTTTTTTGAAAAGTATTGTGCAATTAAAATTTTAAAAATAAATTTGCTTTATTAATTAAAATGGAATATAATATGTTCTAATGTTAATATACGGTAGAATAACAATTTTTTATCTTGCGCTTAAATAATTACGTTGTATATTAATAAATAAATTTAGTTTAACCCATAGTTTATTGTCAATACATAATTTCAAATAATTTATAAACATTATAAATAGAATATGTAACATTATAAATTTTTAGAATCATAAAATTTTCAATAGTACTTTAATAACAATATTTTTAAAATTCACTAAGCATCCAACCTTCCAGAATTGTGCTTTTCATATGTGTTGGCTATACTGTAGTAAATTATACAACAATTTAGATATTATTAATTATGACTCATCATTTTAAAATTATCATATTTGAATGTTTATATAATTTCAATTTAATTAGTTACCATATCTTATTGATAAGACATTAAATAAATATTTACTGTTTGTAAAAATGGTATAAACTTTCTAATTGTGTTTCTGTATAAAATTAATATAAATTTTATTTTCTTAGATTATTATAAAGTAGAAAGTAACCTGGGACTCCAAAACTAAATGTCTGATTCAGATGTGCTTGTTATTGCTGATGTTGTTAACTCATCGGATATAACACTATCAGACGTTTGTTATCTAAATATTAAATTAAATCATAGATCGCTTAATATAAAAGGATTAGTAATTGATATATGAGTCACTCGAGGTATTTCACTTGGTGATTCATATATCAATTACTAATCCTTATATTAAGTATCTATGAAATAAATTCATATGTAATATCTCGTGGACAGGTAGATGTTTTAGGTATTGGCTCGTTCGGTGTGGTCCGGAAAGGTATGTTTAAAGGCCAGGAGGTTGCCGTTAAAGTCATAGAATGCCGCCAACAATGGAGTTGACTCAACTGTCCCGGGTTCGACATAAAAATATTGTGCACCTGTATGCCACGGCAAAAAATGAAGCTTCAATATGGTTGGTCATGGAGTTGGCCGAGGGCAGTTTATCTGATTGTGAGTTATATATTTGTTTTTGTATTTAGTTACCTTTATTATTAATTATTTATTTACTAATAGTTTTGCATAAAACCGAACCCCCGGTGCTCTATAGTCTGTCTGAGGCTATTTCGTGGGTCCATCAGTGCGCGAGTGGTGTCGCATACCTGCACTCAATGCGACCCAAACTTATAGTCCATAGAGACCTCAAGTCGGCCAAGTATTTGAGAATAATATTTTGAATATATTGTACTAATTTTAATAGAAATATTAATTTTAAATTAAATATTTTCATTACAGTTTACTTTTATTTCATAACCGATCTCTATTGAAAATTGGTGACTTTGGTGAGTCATGCGATCTACACACAATCATGACCAAAGAAAAGGTAGGGTTGTTTATAAAATATTTATTATCTTTTAAAATTAATAAATTTTTCAACATTTACCATATGAATCTCAGAGACTCGAAGTGACTTATTTATCAATTCAAATGCAGACTGTATTATAAAGTGTTTAAATTTAAGTCACAGAACGTTTACCACGTTTCAAAATGTATTATATTATCCTATGAAGCATAGCTTAATATTTGTATTGAGAGATAAGTTACGTCGAGTCTCTGGGATTTATATGTTTAATATAATTCAATAGTATCCTCCCCTACACTCACAGATTGGACTTTAATTAATATAATACCCTATGAATAGTCCAGTGTATGAGTTATGAAAGGACACTATGGAATTTATTTTAATTAATAGAGTAGATTAGTATGAATAATTTAAAATAACTAGTTCGAGCAAATGAGTTTATTCTAATTATATATTAAATTTAAACAATTTAATAATTTAAATTTAATAATTTAAGGGCACGGTCCGGTGGATGGCACCGGAAGTCATGACAAGTGACACATACACGGAAAAATGTGACGTCTATAGTTGGGCAATGATATTGTGGGAGGTGTTGGCCCGTCAACTCCCGTACGGATGGCTCGATGCGAGTGAGTTATGCGTAATGTATGCCGTCGTCTTCACAGACAAACGCCCCTCACTTTTGCATAACTGTCCACAAGTCATCGAAAAACTTATGATAAAGTGTTGGACAAGAGACCCGGCTATGAGACTGCCCATGAAGCAGGTTGAGATCATTATGTCACAAATTTACCACGATTTTAAAATATCAAATGGTATGCGTTTGCATTTATTATTTTTATTTCCTATTATTATAATTTCTATTAATAAACAGGGTATATTACATTAAAATTACCGTTAAGAAGTGTGACTAAACATAGCATGGATGTTTACTATAAAGTTCAACATGATAATGAGTCTTGCTCAAATCAATTTGGAACAAATGAAATAGACATGTCCCAAAATCAACAACCACCAAAGACTAATCAAACAACCCAGTTAGATTGTAACGAATTGGCAACATTACCAAATTCACCACAATTAACGCCGATACAAATACCTACACCTACGACAAATCGATTTCGACGATTTTGTGCCTACGTGACTAGTATTTTATGTCCATGTAAAAGTTGTGAAAATCATGATTCTACAATTAACATAACTGAACTTAGACCAATGTCTGATAGCCATGTTGGACTATCATCAAATCAATCTATACATGAGCAGGGTCACTCGATTGAATCGCTTGATAAATATCTTTCCGATGTTAATGAGATTCGTAGCAATGTTTGCGACTCTAGTGAAAATACCCCAGTTAGTAGCCCAGACCCGCTATCCATACACTCAACACTTATGCCAATGTCTAGCCCCTCGTGTAGTTCCCCATTTTCCAATACATTATCTGCCAACACATATAGTGACACAATGCCCCACAACCCCTACATTTCAGCAGAAATTGTCTATGTTGACATTGAAATAATTATGGTAATTTCATAATAAATAATACATATCTGTAATTAATCAGTTTTATAATGAATAGAAAGGTACGTTTGGCGGTACTCATCGTGGTATCTGGAATGGGCGAGAGGTTGCATTGAAACAAATTTGTATCAAGGACAAAACTCAAGCCAGGAACCTTTTCGATATGCCTGATATTGAAAATATCATCAAGGTGTTTGGAACTACTAAGTCTAATGGCTTATTATATTTGGTAGTGGAGTACGCTGATGGTGGTAGTCTATACGATTGTATGTAGCATAATTAATATTAGATAGCTATTATTAATAATAGATACGGTAATACAAATTTGTAACATGTTCTTTTTTATACAAGTTCTACATAGTTCCAAATCACCTGAGCCTTATACGATGACCCAGGCAATCTCATGGATTCAGCAGTGCTTACATGGTGTACAATATTTGCATTCAAAAGATGTTATAATTAAGCATCTTAAATCCACAAAGTATTTTTACCTTCATGAATTTTAATTTAAAATCTTAAAAATAATTTTATTTAATTACAGTCTGATGCTATTCAACCAACGAAATTTATTAAAAATTTGCGATTATATCCAATTATCACATACAACTGTAATTATATTTTTTCTAGCAATGCATACCATGGTAATTTTTACTCATTTATTTACTCATAAGGAGTCAGCCCGCTGGATGGCACCGGAAGTTTTCACTGGCAATAAATACACGGAAAAGTGTGACGTCTATAGTTGGGGCACAATATTTTGGGAGGTGTTGGCCCGCCAAGTGCCCTACGATTGGTTTACCAGGGATCTAATAAATGCAACTGTCCATGCGCAAGAATTAGCTATTATGGTAGCCGTGGTGGCCGGGGAAAGGCCGTCACTTTTATATAACTTGTCCACTTATTTTGATTTCGTGATTGAAAGCACATGGGAAAGGGATCCAATAGATCGGCCTACTATAAATATGTTGGAGCATATGCTGGAAAATCACCTAGTTGATATTCCCTTTGAAGGTTAGATTTATTAGCCTATCTGACTTTTCACAACAAATTACCATTTATGGGTTGAGTAAAACCTAAAAATATTGTTTAAGACTATTTTTACCAGTGTCAGTCTATGCAAAAAGTGCAAACTTATGTTGTAACACTTACAAATTAATGTTTGACTCACAACACTAGTTTTTTGTTTAATATTATTAACTTTAGTTTTTCATATTATTAACTAATAAACTCAAAACTAGTGTTATGTAACGGGCATTAATTTGTAAGTATTTCAACACTAGTCTGCACTTAACACACTGATTTGCTATTAAATTTAGACGAAACATCATATGAAAACAGATTTATGACTCATATATGGCTAATTTGTTGTCGTAATGATACGGTGTGCTCACTATTTCAATGATATAATTGTTGTCAATCTTATTAAACATTTTTCAATTATTTCAATCTTAATAACAATAAAGTGATGGCAAAGTCTATAATAATTCATACATCGGATTCAACATTGGACTCAAATTACTCTCATATAATCAAAACTATCGACAAATCGGAAGTCCAATTAATAGAGGTATGTATATAATTAATATCACCTTTAAATGCAGTAATATAAATATAAAATATCCAGTTGGTAGGTAAGGGCTCATTTGGTACTATAAATAAAGGTTATTGGAAAGGGCAGACTGTATCTGTCGATATAACAAAAAGTATCACGGTTAAAAATATCAAAACTGAGATTGAACTGTTATCACGAATTAATCATCAAAATATTATCCGGCTATTGGCTACCGCCCAGGACCCTGATAACATATGGCTCATAACGGAGTACGCTGATGGCGGCAATCTATACGATTGTATGTGATATTTAATTGGTCATGCTTAAATTTGCAATATGTTATGTTGAATGTTTTATGAATAGTCCTGCATATGGGGGCATCTGTGGCACAATACAGTATGTTTCAGGCTATCCAATGGGTCTACCAATGTGCCCGTGGGGTTGCATACCTGCACAATATGAAACCGACACCCGTATTGCACCGGGACCTTAAAAGTTTTAAGTATTAGATTCTATTGTTTAAAATTACAACATTTAAAAATATTAATGATATGTATTTTATTCAGTTTATTACTATACAATAGTAGGACTAAACTCAAAATATGTGGCTTTGGTAGTGCGCGCGAGCGCCAGTCAGATATGACAATGAATTTGGTAATTATAATGAATTTTTGAGCATGGTTACCTATATGCAGTAATTTGCAACTAATTTTTTGGTATACACATTTTTATGAATTAAAATACAAAGATAATATTTTATATTGAAATAGAATGGTTAGTGTAATAGTTACATAGTTGGTGCAAGCATGTCAATTTACTTATATTATAAAATCTATTGAATGGGGTTAAGAATACCTTGTTACGTTTTGCCATTGCCGAGATAAAATATTAAAGTTTATATTTTTAAAAATCTTAAAACTAGTTTCCTCTAATTAACCTAGTGCATTATTTCCAAAATATTCCCAAAATTATAACTTTCTTATGTAATCAGGGTTCTCGAAATTCAAAATTTTTAAAATTTATTAATTTTAATTCTGTTTAAAAATAATTGCAAAATAATTAAAATCAACTAGGGCACTCCCATATGGATGGCACCGGAGGTATTCCGTTGCTCAAGTTATAACGAAAAGTGTGATGTCTACAGTTGGGGCATAATATTGTGGGAGGTGTTGGCCCGGGGTTTACCGTTCAAATTTGCCGATAGCGTTGAACAAATCCATTGGGCGGTCCATTCAAACAAACGTCCGCCCCTTCTATCGGAATGCCCGCAAGTAATCGAGGAGCTTATGATCAGATGCTGGGCTAATGATCCGGATGTTAGGCCCTCCATGACTGATGTTGAGAGCCGAGTGAAACTATTAATAAGATCCCTGTACAATTTTCAAGGTCAGTTTTATTTAAAGGTTTATATTATTTTCATGTGATAAATTTAATCCTTAGTTGAAATCCCGTTACGTCCAATGTCTGACTACAGTGTGTGCATGGATGCATATGAGCAAAACACGTCTACCTGTGCCATAAGCTCAAGACAAACTGTAATTTAAAATTAAATATTATTTTAGATTAATGAGAGTTTATTAAAGGCTAATACCGTTCCCATAATGGTCTCCATGTCGAAATCAGACAACACGCTTATCACCAAAAGTATAGACACATCGGAAGTCCTGTTAAAAGAGGTTTGTACACTAATTATTATCTTAGAGGTTTGTACATGTATTATCTAGGCCAGCCGTGTAACAATTATTTGCACACAGAGAATTGACAAAGGATCATTTGGCACAGTGTACAAAGCTATTTGGAGAGATCGTAAGGTTGCCGTAAAGTTAATTAACAGGGAACAGGAACATGATTTTGACATTGAGGAAGCTCAATTGTCTAGACTGAACCATAAAAATATTGTCAAACTGCTTGCCACCGGTCGAGACAAAGATAACCTATGGTTGGTCATGGAGTTTGCAGAGGACGGTAGTCTATACAAAGGTAAGATTTAATATAAACTAACCTAAGCTAACATACAATAATAATATACTTACTTTGTATGATAATATATTAATTTAAATTTAATATTGTTATGACCAGTGGTGCATAAGTCTAACCCTCAAGTGTCGTACAGTGTGTCTCAAGCACTCCAATGGCTACATCAGTGCGCCCGTGGAGTCGCGTACTTGCATTCAAGATTACCTAGAGCTATCATACATCGTGATTTGAACTCTAAAAAGTATTAATATTGTTGAAAATTAAATTTAACATTAAATTAAATTTTAATTTATTTGCAGTTTATTACTGTTCAATCGCCTAACGGGACTCAAAATTTGTGATTTTCGCAACGCTCGCGAAATGACAACAAACGATATGACTCAAAATGTGGTACATGTAATATGAGAGGGAACATTCTGAATCATTCGATGTGTCTGTCTAAGAAAACTGTAAACTCAAGTATTTTACATAATACTATATTATACCAATATTCATTATTATATGGATCACACCATGCAGAATAATTCTTAAAAGCAAACAACATGTACATGTATACAAAGTTATTCTATGGGCTAGTGCTATGATTACAGCTTAAAATGTATACTCTTAAGGATTATTCAACAACTAGCAGTCCATATGATATTAAGAAAAATACTTGAGTTTACAGTTTGTTTTCACAGACACATCGAATGATTCAAAACGTTCCCTCTCATAATTTATATTAATATTATTTATATATTTACAAGAGTATATATTATACAAAACTTAACCAAAATTTTTCATGTGTAGTAGTGCCCGGTAATATACCTGTCATTAATAAACAGAGTTAATTTATTATATAAAATTAGGTTATGTTAGGTTAGGTTAGGTATGTTTTGAATATAGTTTAATTTGTAGAATTTATCACCAAGTAATTTATTTAAAATTTACTTCAACATATTTATAAACTAACCAGGGCACTCCCAGGTGGATGGCCCCGGAGGTATTCCGTAGCACACGGTATAACGAAAGGTGTGACGTCTATAGTTGGGGAATAATATTGTGGGAAGTGTTGGCACGGGAACTGCCCTTTCATTTTGCCGATAGCGTCGAACAAATACAATGGGCCGTCCATTCAAAGCGACGACCGCCCCTCCTATCGGAATGTCCACAAGTTATCGAGGAGCTTATGATCAAATGCTGGGCTAATGAGCCTAGTGTTAGGCCCTCCATGGCCGATGTTGAGAGCCGGGTGAAAAAATTAATACAATCCATGTCCAATTTTCAAGGTTAACTTTAATTTAGATTTAAAGATATATGTTTTCACGTGATATATTTAATCTATAGTTGAACTACCGTTGCATCTAATGTCTGACAATAGTGTGTGTATGGAAACATATGAGTCAAACAAGCCTACTGGTGCCCTTATTTCACGACAAATTGTAATTATAAATTAATTATAATTTCAGATTACTGGTAGATTACCAAGTGTTTGCTTAATAAATATGAGACACCATTCTGACACGTTCTACGTATCTGTACAAGCAAACTGTAAACTGAAACATTTCACTTAATAATATTAAATAGCTAAATTCATTGCTTTATACTATAACGTGAAATACTTAAGTTTACAGTTTGTATGTACAGATACGTAGAACGTTTCAGAATGGTTTCACTCATATATGCTATACACTTTTTAAAAAAGCATTAATAGTTTAATATTGTAGCAAAGTGTGAAAAACTATTATGTAAAAAGTGTAATTACTGGGTATTGCCTACCAGTCCCCTCTCCTTAGACTTCTAGACTTTTCTAGAAGTTTCTACATTTTTCTAGACTTCTTTGTTAGCATAATACATAAAATAAACATATTATGTCATAGAGAGGGACAGTTAGGC